ATTCTCCCCTCAGGATCTTCTTCTTTTTATTTTATTTTTTTTGCTATAGGGCGCGTGCGCTCAATAGAAAGACAGAGAGACAGAGAGTGAGAATGGTCACGCCGCAATCCCTTCTCCATTCTCCTCTCAGGATCTTAGGGAACGCACACACATGTGCCCGGCATGAGTTTAAGCCACCGGGTCTGGGAATCGAACCACGGTCAACTACGTGGGAGTCCAGCAACATAGCCATTACGCTAACTGCTGGTCCCTCCCCTTGGGATCTTGGGCACACATGCAAATGCGCCCAGCATGAGTTTAAGCCACCAGGTTCAAAACTTGAACCACGGTCGACTATATGGGAGTCCAGCAACATAGCCATTACGCCAACTGCTGGTCCCAGCAGTGGGTTTCTAGAAGTACACGGGATTCTTCTTTGAGGGCTGGGACTTCAGAAGGTGGAGCATAGAACTTTTTGTTAAGTCCTAGCAGACTGATCCCTTTGGTTTGGCTCCTCTAGGAGACTAGCCAGGGTTAATTCTTTGATTTTATCCTTCTTTCTAATCCATTTTTCCTTCCTTCTGCTGTCCAGGGAATGGTTCCCTTCATATTTGTTGGCACCCGAGAGAATATCAGCAATGCCCAGGCTCTGCTGGAATATCATCTCTCCTACCTGCAGGTACCCAAGCTGGAAGCCTGGGAGAGGAAAAAGCAGCGTGTGGAAAGGGGACTAAGACTTAGGAATTATGGTGTCTGGTTTATCTCTGTGTGGAATAGGAACCTTTGGTGGAAATGCAAGGCTGTAGGGTTGTACCCCACAATTTTTCTTGGTCATCCAATGTCTTTCTTCTCTTGGTATTTCTGAGAACTTAAGATTGTGTTCAGGAATAGTCAGGATAGAGAAGCATGAAGGAAGGAGCTTGTCCATTGACCTTATTCTTCCTTCCATTTCTTTCATCTTCCCAATCAGGAAGTAGAGCAGCTTCGCTTGGAGAGGCTGCAAATTGATGAACAGCTTCGGCAGATTGGACTGGGCTTTCGTCCTCCTGGTAGTGGGCGGGGCAGCGGTGGCAGTGACAAGGCCGGATATACCACTGATGAGAGTTCCTCCTCCTCCCTCCACACAACTCGAACCTATGGAGGCAGCTATGGGGGCCGGGGCCGGGGCCGGAGGACAGGTGGTTCTGCCTATGGTGAGATTGCTGTAGAAGGAAGAGGCGAGGAGTGGTGGGGCTTGGGAGAGACAGAGGTTTGAACGGCAACTTGGAGAAAGCTGTGGTGGATGAAGAGGTGGTTGGTTGGCTTGAGGATTTGTGCATGAGAGAGAATCCTTCTAGCTTGGGGGATCTGACGGATCCTGGTTGGGATAAGTATCCCTCAGTAAACCCTACTGTGTTCTTCAGGCCCCAGCTCAGATGCGTCCACAGCTTCCGAGACCGAGTCAGAGAAGAGAGAGGAACCCAACCGAGCTGGACCTGGTGATAGGGATCCTCCATCGCGGGGGGAAGAAAGCCGAAGGCGGCCAATTGGGGGCCGGGGTAGGGGACCCCCACCTGCCTCCCGGCCCACCTCAAGATACAGCTCTTCATCTATTAGCTCAGGTACTGGACAGCTGGGTTCAAGAATGTAGGCTAAAAGGAAAGATGTTGGACACCTGATCCTCAGTTCCTCTTTTTCTTCTGATCAGTGCTGAAGGATCCAGACAGTAATCCCTACAGTCTATTGGACACATCTGAACCAGAGCCCCCAGTTGATTCAGAGCCTGGGGAGCCACCCCCAGCAAGTGCCCGGCGCCGCCGCTCCCGCCGACGCCGCACTGATGAAGACAGGACTGTCATGGATGGAGGCCTAGAATCTGATGGGCCCAACATGACAGAGAATGGCCTGGGTGAGTGGTGTGCCTGGGGCCTGGAAAATTAGAGATGGGGTAAGAACTGAGGGATGGGAGCTTGGATTTGTGACTCTTTTTGTCCTGCCTCACAGAAGATGAATCAAGACCCCAACGTCGTAATCGTAGCCGCCGCCGCCGTAACCGTGGTAACCGAACTGATGGTTCTATCAGCGGAGACCGTCAGCCAGGTTAGCTAACACTGGATCTCAGGATCCTTTAGAGCTGAGGGAATGGCATCCCTCTTACCCTTTAGAAACCAGGGGTTGGGGTTCACTGGATGTCTCGGGGTTGGACACCTGTGCTTCCCCTGACACTCTTGATCCTCTGCATTCCCCAGTGACTGTGGCTGACTATATTTCACGAGCAGAGTCTCAGAGCCGCCAGCGGCCTCCCCTGGAACGCACTAAACCCTCAGAGGATTCTCTTTCAGGACAGAAGGTAGGCAAGCAAAATAGAATTTGCCCTACTCTTTTGGTGGTTATTCTGGGGCAGGAATTTGGAGGAGGGGGGCACAAAAAATTCCCAAAGAAATCTCTTACTGAATTGCAGAAGTAGGCATAATGGAGTTTAGATGGCATTTAGAATAGCATTGTATGAAGCTTGAGAGGAGGATCTGGTTCACATTTTCTGGATCCCAGTAAGGGTGGCTAGAGCTGAAGGTCTCCAGATGCCAACCAGGAAGGCATAGGTGGCAGGGAACAACAGATGCCTGAATTTTTACTGACCACTGGCTTTCTTTTCTGTTTTCTTCCCCCATTTTTCCCTCAGGGTGACTCTGTTAGCAAGCTTCCTAAGGGCCCCTCAGAGAATGGGGAGCTCTCCGCCCCCATGGAGTTGGGTAGTTTGGTGAATGGGGTTTCATAAAACCTCCAGCCCACATCCCTCCCTTCTCCATCTCGCTTGCTGCCCAACACCATGGCCCTCACAGGCCCAACTGACCTGCGCTGGAGCTGCTCTTATCTAGGGGGGAGGGGGGTGGCACAGCAGCTTGGGTCCCCCCCAACCTCCAGGAGCTAGTGGAGGGGTAACAGGGTCATACCCCCTCCCTCTTGTCCACCCTTCCCCCAGGGTAAGGGGAGCCTCTCTCCTTCCCCATCAGACTGGATGTGCCTTTATCCTCTAATGCCCCAATCTCTCTCTGAACACCCCACTCCACCTGTTGGTGGGGAGTGCTCCTTGACCCACCCAGATTTGACAGTTCAGGGGGACTCCCCTGCTATCCCTCCTCCCATCCTGTACCCCCCATTTCTGGGGCCTCATCACTGTGGAAGACGGGGATAGTAAGGGTAAAGTGGGTGGGAGGCATGGGGAAGGTTTTGGAGTAGAACCAGGGGTGTGTACGAAGGGGGGTGACAAGGTCCCCCAAGGGGAAGGGGGACCAACTTGTCTGATGGATGAGAAGGCGTATTTATTTTTCACTGTACAGTATTTAAAAAGAGAATAAAAAAAATCCAAATGGCTTTCTGGTTCCTGTGCCCTCCCTGTCCCATTTGGTCATTTGTTTTAGGACCCGTCCACCCTGGCCCCTGGCTGCTGTTTTCTGTTCCTTCATACTTGGCTTCTTAGTCTCTAGTGTTCCAACGATGGTCTTTGGGTGAATTCCTGATAGTCCGAACCCCCCAGGCACAGGGACACCACCACCCCCTCGCCCCCTCACACCCTGGTCCAGAGAAGGATGCCTTGTGCTTTGCTGCTTCTCCCTCCCTGGGTTAGCTGGTAGAGGGAGCTGGGCCACTCCTATGCCCTGAGTCACAGTGTGGCCTAGGCAGGGCTGCTCCTGCTGGAGCTGTTCCCGCTAAAAGCTGAGAGCCAAGGCAGGCTGCTTAATCCGATTACCCGGCCCCCGGGGCATGGGCTGGGCCTTGGGCAGAGTGGGAACCAGGTGTCCGGCCCTCTGCCTGCTCCTGCTCTGGTTTGACTGCAGGCTCTTCCTCCAGCATCCTATCACCAGCGTCTCAGCTCTGGGGAATTATCCTGGGTCCCTTGACTCTTGGTTTTGAAAATAAAACTTGCCAGATTCAGTGGGTGTGGAGACATGTAGGTTTAGGGGCTGGAGTTGGGAGGGCTTAAGTTTTCTCATCTGGAGAAGGGTTGAATCACTGCCCAAACACCTGCTGGGATGACTCAGGAAACAAAAATGGCCTTCCTCCCTCCTACTGCCTTTCTTGGCCCAGGGGCAGGTCAGGGGTTTGAGGAGCAAGTCACCAGAAAAGGGGTTGGGGTGGGGGCAGGATGTTCCCAGTTCCTTCTGGCCCGTTGCTGGCCCTGAGGTCATTTGATCCCCCTATGGGAAGGAAGGGACTTTTAAGTAGCCAGCACTTAAGCAGGGAGGGGAGACAATCACAGCCTCTGGGGCTGGAAGGCCAGACCTCTCCGTTTGGGTGGGGAGGGGGCGTGGCACCCTGAGGGGAAGTGTTGGGGGCTGGGAAGAACAGGACACCTGGGTTCGCCTAGGGGAGAGGGGATGTTGGCGCCCTTAAGGAGGCGCAGTCTTCTGGGACGGGTCGGGGAGGAGTCAGTCTTTAAAAGCTGTTCCTGGGTCTGGCCCGCCAGCCACAGACGCTGAGCGCAGGTGGGAGAGGCTTGTGGCACCC